GGATAAGCCTGAGCATCACCATGCCCAAGAAGCCACATGGCCATACCAAGCATACTGTGCACATGCACCTGGTCCAGGCCAAACAGGCATAGCAATATGGATACCGACTCTCTTGCAGATATAAATTCTGAGTTGGGAAGCGGACCCTACTCAAGGCCGGTGGGTGACGGTGCTGGCAATGGTGGAGTTAGAGATCGTTTGTATAGTCTGTCTGTACGCACCCAACTCCACAGCGGAGAGATTCACATTTTTGGAATCCGTGTCACAGCAATCCTGGAGGATGCCATCCCAATTTGTTTGCTCTTTGCTGATGATTTGACAATCATTATGGATGCCACTGACAACAATATGCGTGAAATCAAGGCCCTGTTGGACAGATTTTGTGCGTTTTTCGACATGATCGTCCACCGGAGCAGCAAGTTGCGCAAGGATGGTGGATTCACCATCAAGGAGGCAGACCACCTGACGCACCGGACATCCAGTGGATCCCGTTGAACCACCGGTACGGGTACTCGGGTTTCCATCACCAGTAATGGTCGTCCGATAACCAATGATGAGTGGGACATGAGCTCAGCACAGGCCAAGCTCTCCTTCTGGCAAGGCAAGTGCTCCTCCCTTTTCGAGCGTGCCTTAGTAATTAATAATGTTTTTTTAGCCTCCTTACGGTATAAATCATTTACACGGCCACTTAGAGGGAGAGCACTCAAGTCAATTCGTAAACAAATTGCAGCATTTCTATGGTGAGGCAACCATGAGTGCTTCTCAGCCATCAGCAGAGTGGCATGGAACTCCATAATTCAACCCAAGTCCCAAGGAGACTCGGACATTATAGACCCAATGACCAAGACGACCACTTTAAGCCTTCAATGGGTTAAAACTTAAAAGACTTTCCACCCGCGAACCCCCTGGCGAGCTCTCACATTGCAACAGCTCAGACTGTTGGGCCCGAAGACCCCTGAGATGGCTGGATGATCTTTTCTGGTTCATTCCCCGACCTGCCGCCCGCACACCATTCCTGGTAACAGAGCAGTGGCTCGGCAGAGCACTGGCTAGACGGGATCTGCACAATCATAGTTTTTGGACCCAACTATTCACCGCCTAGAGGCGGCTTCCTCTCCAAGACAGGCCGCCCCCACCTGCTGGGAGGAAGTAGCTCAGCAACCATTGTTCGGCAATCAATGAAACACAAATCGCCACAGGAATGTCTTCTGGAGCTCCGCCTTCCCCTGGAAAAAACTGAATGGGAGTCTGGGACCTGTGGGACCCAGAAATTCGTCAATGGTTGTCGCCACAACAACTGCAAGCCAGAATCAAGCACGGGAGACACATAGAGGAGAGCTGGAAGAACTGTATTTATTGAATGGAACTAGGTACCTCTCCGACTTGTCAATATCCTGGGAAGGCCGGTAAGGGAACTGCTCTTGCCCTTTAACAGAGTGGTCACCAGCAGCAGGTATTCCTCATCTGTTTGGCCGTGGCCGAAGGTGACTCAGGTTGGCAAGACACTAACCGGGTTAGCTCAACTGCAATGACCTGTCCATTATGAGAAAAGCTTCCAGCATGCAAGTATTCCCAATGTACTCAAATACAACATCTCACAATGCAGGACAGGTCCAGGAACACTGAGTGTACTCCCGAAATAAGCACCGAGTCACCAAGAACTAGACAAAGGTAGAGAAGCAATGGAAAGAGACGGAGGAAAGTTTCATTAATAATCAACAAAATACAAGTGACTCGGCACTTCCACCCTCTTTTGTCTAATCAGGTGTTAACAGGAACTTCCTGATACATTATAGACACTGCATGCTTCTTACTTTCCGTGGTCTGATAGATGCGTAATAGCTCCATGGTATGCATTGTAGCTAGTTGGGATCCGCTTGTAATAGGTCCATGGTATTGTAGCTAGTTGGGGTCCGCTTGTAAGTGTTTTTCCGTCTTGACGCAATTATCTGATGTGGGCCTTCTGCTATGCATGTAGTCTTCTAGCCCGTTTTGACTGTGTACTTGTGCATCACTCTCCATCTTTTATCTTACTCCATGGTATGGATTGTAGCTAGTTGGGATCCGCTTGTAATAGGTCCATGGTATGGATTGTAGCTAGTTGGGGTCCGCTTGTAAGTGTTTTTCCGTCTTGACGCAATTATCTGATGTGGGCCTTCTGCTGTGCGTGTAGTCTTCTAGCCCGTTTTGACTGTGTACTTGTGCATCACTCTCCATCTTTTATCTTACCGCATTCTTAGGAGGTTTCAAGTTTGCCTGTGAAAGGTAGTGGTGGTTTAAACCCTGGTTGTAGTAGAGGTTGGATACAAGACCTCAGCGGACACCCATGGTACTCAGTAGTCCATTGGGAGGTCCCCTGCGTGTTGTCTGTTCTGTTGTTTTTTTTTAACTTCCTGACCATGTCTTAAAGTCCAATTCTACCAGCGTTTCTTTTCCAACTTCTACTATGGACTTCCCCGTGGCCTCTAGTTCGTGGACCTAAAAGCTTGCTACATTTCTGATCTTTTCCAGGGTTTGTTTCCCAACTTCCACTATGGATTTACTTGCTACATTCTTATCCGTTTCTTCCCGTTTAATGGACCTCAGTGCTATTAATAGTGTCGCTTGATCTTTGACTGTTGCCCAGTTCCCCTTTTTTCACACAATCTCCTTTTTTTTAACAGAGTCCTCCAGGCTATGGGTATACTATCTATCAGTTCTTCCAGGTTCTTTTGTAGATTGCGATGCCCTCTCAGCAGTACCAGGTAAAGTTCCTTTTCGGTTTTCCATTTGCTGTTCTGGTCATCCCAAAGGTGCTCTACTTTCCAGATGCCCTTTCCTACCCATACTCTCCATCTCTTATCTCTTCCCAGAAGTGCCCATGGAGGTCATTTCTGAACAATGCTTGCCTCAGGGCCTGTCCACCTTTTCGGAAAAGCTTCCCTCCAGGGTGTGATCAGTTTTGCCCAGTGCCGACTTGGCGGGTATTTAGCTTGATGGCGGGTTCCTGACATACATGTCCTTTTCGTTTTGCTCTTGGTGACCAATGTCTATTCATTAGCCATACATGTCCTTCGATGGCTTTGTGTGAATTGGATTTCTGGTTTGGTACAGGGCCATCTCCTGCCATGGTAGTTCCGATTTCAATTGGGGGAAGAAAACAAATTCCCCTGTCTTTTGATCCTTTTGGACTTTCGCCACTGATAAGCACAAAAGCCCCCAAAAGTTTGAAACGAAAAAAAAAAAAAAACGTAAAATAGTCAAAGGGTCACCGCTCACTTTACTGTAATGGTCGTTCTTTGCTTCCTCTCTCTGTCCTCGCACGATCGGTCTTCTTTCTCTTCAACACATCTCTTGGTCCTACTACTTTTGCATCATCCACAACTGTCGTAGCCTCTGTCTCTCCTCCTCTCTCGTCCCTCCTACATGATTCCCAGGAGAGGCCGGCCCTGAAGCGTATCGAATTGTCCAGGATCAAGCTGCTTCCCCAGGCACATAGACCATTTGTCTTTTTCTCGTCGAATCATCAACGCCGAAGCACACAGAGACGTCCAGAATTACTATCCCTAACATCATCCCACGGTTTTGATCACCTCTCCATCCCAAGGCCTCCCCACCAATGGATGGAGCCTCCGAAAGTAACAGCCGCAGGCATACACAACCACAGGGTTCCCCGCTCAACAGGAACAGGAGTCCAGGGGCAAAAGAATAGAAATAACAGGAGTCCGACTTTTTGAAGAAGGGCAAAAGAATCAAATTTTAAGAACAAACGAAGGTCGTGATCACCCTCGCTCCCTTCAACACTTCAGCCACCTCATCATCGTCGCCCCCACCTTTCCCCCACCACTACCCGCACCTGACCCTCTACTCCAGCTCCTCGCCTCCACCTTTCCCACACCACCTGCTTCTAGCTGCAAATCGAAGCCTCGTTCGACCAAATCGCTGACTGCTGCAATGTGCATGTGGACAGCGGCACGTTTGTCATTTGTCTTGGTGTTCCCCTCGGCTTAACATTTTCACCTCTCTCTCTCTCTCTCTCTCTCTCTCTCTCTCTCTCTCTCTCTCTCTCTCTC